ACAACAACAACAACAACAACAACAACAACAACAACAACAACAACAACAACAACAACAACAACAACAACAACAACAACAACAACAACAACAACAACAACAACAACAACAACAACAACAACAACAACAACAACAACAACAACAACAACAACAACAACAACAACAACAACAACAACAACAACAACAACAACAACAACAACAACAACAACAACAACAACAACAACAACAACAACAACAACAACAACAACAACAACAACAACAACAACAACAACAACAACAACAACAACAACAACAACAACAACAACAACAACAACAACAACAACAACAACAACAACAACAACAACAACAACAACAACAACAACAACAACAACAACAACAACAACAACAACAACAACAACAACCACAGCAGCAGCAGCAGCAGCAGCAGTAGCAATAACAACAGCAACAATACTACAGAACATTGAACTTGGTATCATTGATGAGTCTACACATCACCATACCACCTCCATCCATTGTCACTGTTAACCGCTGTCTTGCGCTTCCTGATATAAATAGCCCCCGGTCAACATACGATCGCTGTCTTCCGGCAAGAATCTGTGCACTACAGAAAGGTGAATGGGCCGAGAAGGTGTGGCGTTTCCTCCGATAATGATCGCCAAATGGCTTCTCAAAAGTGGCGTTCCTGGCGCGTCGATGATGTTCCTCCGTTCTCTTTAGTGCTGTCCTCTCGGTTTCTCCGACATATTCCTCCTGGAATACGGCACATTTCAACGAATAGACGACATCCTTGGACATGCACGCATCATGCTTCATGCCACCATCGCATGCACGACATTCAGCTGGCCTGCCCCTTCCTCTCTTCTTCATCTACTGCTGGATCCTCCTCGAGCATTGTGGCTTGCTGAACGATGACGATACCAACATGTCCCTTAAGGAGCGGCCTGACGTAAAGACTACACGCACCTCCTTCCTGAACGACCTGACAACTTGACGCACCTTCTTTGCGAGTCGGTCGTTTATGAACGGCACTTTGATAATTGATCTTTATTCTCTTCTCTTCTTCTTCTGGCGCGGTGTCTGTGTTTCGTCGTCGTTGGCTCGTTGGATGGCTCGTTGGGTGGCTGTGTGGAGGATGTCTTGTGGATAACTGTTCTGTCGCAGGAGCTTGGCGATTTTCTGGATGCTTCGTTTATGTCGCAGACATCACCACGCAACATGACAATTTGTTCAAGGTTTGAGATTGTGTGTTTCCAGAATCGATTTTCAAGCTCCGATCATGAGTGGAAATACGGAACTAAAGTGATCAAGGGAAGGGTCTGCGGCATTCATACTTTTCATAGCTATTAATGGAATGTTCCGGAGGAGGAAGGAGGAAACTGTAGTTATTATTATTATTTAAAAATTCGACGAGGAGACAATAATTTTAATATGGCAATAAGTAGGACGAGCTGAAGCGACATGTGGACTACTTTATTAACAATGTAAGCGATGGAGACGATGCAAGAAACAACCTAAAGGGTAAGGAAAAATACATGTAAGAAGAAAAAGGGCAATGGAAAAAAAAAGATGATTCGAACAAGTTTTCGTACAACACTCTTCAGGAATCACCGTTGTACTAAAGAACAAAATGAAAACTAAGAAAATAATATAGCAATCAAGGTAGGGTGACAAGAACCAATGACAGCACTGGAATATCGAGGTGCGATTTCTCACAAAAGTGTGCAGAAAACAAGGGTATACAAGTAAGAACTAAGCGTGACAAGTGTGTATCAGCAACAAAAACAAAAAAGTGAGAACGAATGATAATAATAAAAATAATAAATAAGAAGGTGACAAAACACATTTAGGCACAAGTGGCAACAACGTTGCCACACTACACAACCGAAATTTTATTTGAACAATTTTAGGGTAATAACACTATCTTTCTGGACACACAAATTCGGCTCATGAATGCGCTGACAAACTGCTTCCAAAACCTGTAACTGCAAAAGATAACCATGACGAGCACGGCATAAAACAGAAAAACAGGAATCAGAATAAGTACGACAACAGTCAGTACTAGAAACCAAATGATTGTATACTGAAGACTTGTTATTACGAGACGGACGCACACAATCTCGACTCACGCGCACACCCTCACACTCACTCTCACCCTCACTCAGCTCACCTTCTCCCTCACTGTCCGAATCAGAACCTGCTCCGTTATCCACAGCGGTTTGACTCTCCTCCTCACTTGCATCGTCCTGCGTCTCACCTTCACCACCCACGCCAACCCTGAATGCCGTTGCCTTCACGTCAGTCGTCGTCCTTTCCGATTGTTTCCTTTGTATTTTTACCGTGAATTCATAGGTCCGGTTGTAATCTGCTGTAGATCTCCGTGGTCTGTCATTTGCTGCTTTGTTTTGTGGATTAGTTGTTGTTGTTGGATGTGAACTTGGTGTTGTTGTTGGATGTGAAGCTGGTGTTGTTGTTGCAGCCATGGTTGTTGGTCTTTCTTTTGAATCCAGCTCTGGTTCCGGTGGGACAAATCGACCGCTGCGGGTGCTCCCCACCAACACAGACCTCGAAGGAGGAGGGTCAGGGGGAGGCAGAGGTGCTGTCACCACTCGAGGCACAGCCCCATGCAAAGCACACAGAGGCACAGACTTAGGCACACCCGAGGGCTGCACCAATGGCGGTTCCGCACGCACCTCCAAAGAGCTGCCAAGCTCCAGCCCGTCCAACACAGATGTCAGAGGGGGAGCGGCAGACAGAGGCAGGGAACTATCCTGCCGTCTAGGTGATGGGTTTTTCCTAGGCCTCCCGTGTTTGGGCCTCTCAGATTGCGCACTGGGTGGAAGGATGTGAAGTGGAGTGTGTTGTTTGATACGTGCGTTCATGTGCTGAACAGTCCTACCAACATACCGACTAGCACAATGTCGGCATTCGAAGTTGTAGATAACATGACTCAGGTGGAGGGTTGGTAGGACGTCCTTCCGCACCGTGAACGCACGCATTGTTGTGAAGACTGGCACAAAATGTACTGCATAATAAGTACGACGGACGATAGACTTGACTGCGTGACACACTTTGATCGATTCCTGCCCCTTCCATGGCAAACATAGATAGACGGGACAGCGAGGTGGACCAATCAGCATCGATTTCGGTTTCTGCT